CGAGGAAGGGCTTGGGCTGCTCCGCTCCCCTTGTTTGCCTTGGCTTATGATGAATTGTTGGGGGCAGTGCAGTGGGGTGGGGAGAAGGCATGGCTTTTCCCCACCACTGGGTGGGTTTTTCCCTTGCATGTAATGGTTGGGCCTTGCCAGGGCTTCTGCTGCCCTCTTGGACACCAGTGGCTTCTTCTCCAACCCCAAGTTTGTAACCAAGAGTCAGGGGCCGGTGAGAAGGCAGTGGGGCACAGCGTGTGCCACTGGGGCAGGCCCCACGTTGCCAGGGATGCTGGGGTGAGGCTCTGGGAGCAGGCAGCATCCACCTGATGAACTCCGTCTGTATTCCGCAGGAACACCGTCATACAGCCCGCCAGAGTGGATCTGCTTCAAACGCTACCGCGGCGAGGCGGCCACGATCTGGTCCCTGGGCATCCTGCTCTACCAGATGGTCTGCGGGAAGCACCCGTTCTGCAGAGGCACCAACACCATCTGGGACCAGCTCCCGTTCCCACCACGGGTCTCTCGAGGTGGATACCAATCTTTGTGGCACGGGGGGAATAACGGTGTTGGGAGAGGGCAGCGGGCTCACGAGGACGCCGCTCTTGAAGCTGTTTGTGTCCCATGGTTGGCTGGGGGAGGTGGCCTGTGTCCTGCCATCCTGCTCTCCTCCAAAAGGGAGAATCAGTGGAGAAGTTTGGGCACAGCTCTGAGCACAGCCAGCACAGCCTGGGCGCGTGGACAGTGGGACAAAGGGGACAGGATCCTTCTCCAACTGACCGGCGATTTTCCCCCCAGGGTGCCAGCACCTTATCAGGTGGTGTTTGTCCATCCGCCCCTCGGACAGGCCATCATTGGAAGACCTGTTGTGCCATCCTTGGGTGCAGGGCATTCACCTGCTCTAGAAGACAGGAGAGATCCACGTGCTCACTTTGATCCAGGGGCCTGGCAAGTAACACCTCCACACATCTCTTGGCAATAAGAAGTAAAGAAAACCAGATTTTTTTTGTCATGCCTGTAGCACTGAGGGGGGGTCAGCACATGGGAACATGCACCTCTTTGTGCTGGAGCTGGGCTGTAGACCCAGTCTTCCAAGTGCTGGTGGCCACCATCCAACCTGGTTTTGCTCATCCTGCTTCACAGACAGCTGGGCCCTCGGCAGAACACTGACAGCCTGGTCTGGCCCCCAGGGAAGGAGAAGGGGCCTCTGGAGAAGCTGTGCCGGGTGGGGCTGCTGCTGGAGACATCGAGGACGACGTCAGGGATGACAAGCTCTTTGTTGTTGACCTGGACACCGGCGAGCTGAAGATGATGGACTCTGATTCTGGCCCCTTCCTCCAAGCCGTGCTCCACACGCCGTTTGCAGATGAGTCCACACCCAGGGGGTGCTCCCGGGCATTGCTCAGCCTGGCTGGGCACCGAAGGTTCCCCCTTTGCTGGCGGGGAACCCGATGAATTCTTCAGCCGGCTGCCAAGCTGCTTCTTGGCAGGAGGGTGGGCGGGTGCTCTGGGCTGGGTGTGAAATGGGAGCCCGGCTCTGCCCCCAGCCTCTGCCACTGCCCCTTTGCTGGGCGGGGCTGGGGCAGGGGCAGCCAGCCTGCCAAAAACAAACCCCCGTGGGGGGAGCAAAGGTGGGGCTGCAGAACACCAGCTGCTTTGGGCTGCAGGCCAGGAAAGGCTTGGGCTGCCTTGGCTTAGGAGCCTTTCTTTGGGGCAATGCAGCAGGGCAGGGAGAAGGCCTGGGTTTTCCTGAGCTGGAGGAGGTGGGGTTTTTCTTTGGTGTGGAGGGGTTGGGCCTTCCTCAGAACCCTGACAGAATGTTAACATTTTACCTTTTTTTCTTGTTTCCACTTTTTGTTTGTAATCTCTTGTCATGAATTTGTTGTTTGTTTTCGAGGGAAGAGTTGGAGCTGGTGCCCAGTCTGGATTGGGAAGGGCTGGGACCATCCCTGGAGAGGATCTGACGTCCCCTCTGAGAAGGCTGAGGACATCCTTTGGGACACGCTCTTCTTCCTGCAGCAGATCTTGTGAGGTAGATCCTCATCTTGCCCATCTTCTCAGCAGGAGTGGGATAATGGCTTTGGGGAGATGGCAGCAGGCACATGAACATCTCTTGCAGCTGCTGAGGAGGTTGATCTCCTGGGCTTGGCTGGAGGAGGTGGCACCTGTGTTGAGTAATTTCTGAAATCCAATCGATCTGGGATGACCCCAAATGACAGTTTAGTTTTCACCTTGCTCGAGCTGTATCTCAGCTGTTCTCTGAACAGTTCTCTCCCCCACCTGCCTGTTACTTCCCCACTGCTCCCTCTTTTCCCTGCAACGAGTTCCCAGCTCCTCATGGTCTCCATCAAACCATTGATAGAAGAAATAGAAACTCTACTCCCAGTACCCCGGAGTGCCCAAATGAGGAACAATGTAATCCTGGAGAAGTCCTAGAGAATTAGATAAGGGATGTCCCAAACCAGCAGGATGTAAACTAAGCCCTGTGTACCCAGATAAAAGAAGCACAGTGGTGCTGTGCTGCTCAAGAACTGAGCAGCACAGATGACAGAGAAGGCCTGGAAGGACCAGAAAAGGACTTCCAATAGGGGTGTGACTATGTAAAGCAGAGTAATGAATATGTATTAAGTAAGCAAGGCTATCAAATGCACATGTAAAGAGTGCATAAAAAGCCCTTTCTGTCATTTGGCACCTTGGATTAGAGGAACTCTCCTCTGAGTGTCCAGCATGCTGAACAAAGAAGAATGCCCTTTTTAACATCTCCAAATTGGGGTGAAGAAGTTTGTTTCTGCTGCTTTTGGGTGTAATTTTTGGCCCCCCTGACAGGACACCTCTGCCTGATCTCCCACAGATCTGAGGGATCACTGGATCTTCACGCCAGCACCAGGACTTTGCTGCAGAAGAGCACAGATCCCCAACCCAGTCTGGGACACAGGTAAGATCCCACTGGATAATAAGGCATTCTCTTTGGGAATCCTGCCCATGTCAAACATGTGGATCTTTCAGCACACTGGGTGGGTTCTTTGGTATTTTGGGAATCCTGCTCATCTGAGACCTGTGGATCTTCCAGCCCTTTGGGTGGGTTATTTGGTATTTTGGAATTTGGTATTTGGCTTTGTTTTATCGATCAATATTGTTGTGTTCTTATTTGTTTCTGTATTGTAACATTTTGGGTCTACTGTTTAGAGATGGGGAGTGGGCAGTCTGAAGGGGGAATTGTGAAGAAGTCCCCACTTGGTTGCATTTTGTAATTTTGGATGAAGTTTGGTGGCCCCCCCAGAGGAACAGCTCCCAGGGAGAATTTAATGAAGTGTTGTAATCAATGGGTGGCTGTTCTGGAACATTGAATTCTAATCCATTGTTACAGTTGGTGCTGTTTCAGAAGGGGAACAGAAGTGGAAGGAGGTTCTGTGCATTGATGTGTTTTTCACTTTGCAGAACCTGTGAAATGGCAGAAGGATTGTGGTGTGAATGCAGCGCCCTCAGAGCCCTTGGTGTGAGCCCAGAAAGGAAAATCAAGGGAAATGGTTAAAGCCTTGTTGTTCAGTGTGGAGCACAGGAGAACTTTGTTCTCATCGTCTCCCCGATAAGGAGGAGGACTCAGATCTTCTGGTTGGCCCCACGGGCAGGTTGAGTGGGGGAACAGATAATCAAGATGCAGAAACCAATCTTGCAGGGGAACTGGCATGTGAAGAGGCAGCTTTAGCATGTCCAGAAGAAAAGGAGAGAGAATGTGTCAGAGAGAGAGCAGAGAGCTTCAGTGCAGCTGCAGGAAGAACTAGAGCTGAACAAGGAGGGCTGGGAGTGGCCCCCCTGTGTGATAGAACCCAGACTAAATGGCAAAAGCCTTCAAAATGATGATTCAAAGCCAGGATCCGGGCTAGAAGGATCCTATGTTAGAAGTGTTGTTTGGTAGTAGGGAGAAAGCAATGGTTGTTAAAACCAGTCAGAGGTTTTTGGAAGAGCAGATTTTGGTGGGGAATATCCAGGGTACATTGGACATTCCCTTTCCCACTGCAGATCCTGAATGGGATCCTAACATCCCTATTTTTAGAGAAAGGTTCAATAGATACCTGCAGTGGATGTTGTCTGCAATGAAACATGCCAGGCCAAAGGCAATGAACACGTCAAAATTCTCTGCAATGAAGCAGGATCACAGGGAATAGCCTACTGAATTTTTAAATCATCTGGAAGAAACAGCACAAAAATATACTAATATCCATCCTGGAACACGGGGGGAAGGACTCAACTGGCCCCCATATTTGTGGGGCAGTCCTCAGATGTGGTTAGGAGGGAATGACAAAAAGCTGAGGGACAAGATCAAGATAATTTGGGGACATTGTTGGAGGTTGGGAGAATCAGCAGGAATCAACTCAGCAGGAAGGAGTTGCAGTTCTGGAAGAAATCCCTGAGGAAATGGTGCCCCCGGGGAGAGGAAGAGGATGAGAGCATGGGCAGCCTGCTTCAAACATCCCCCCCAGGAGACTTGGGATCAATCCCTGTGCATCCTGTAAGAAAGATGGACACTGGAAATGGGATTGTCCACAACTGAAACTTCAGAACCCTCCCAACCCTCTCCTGGCATCACTGCAGACGACTGAGGGGGCACCAGAGGATTCTTCCCCATCAGAACATCTGGTTCCAGCCAAGCTAAGTACAATTGGTTGTGGCTGTGGGAACTTGTTCCCCTGTCTTAAATAAGGGAAAATGAAACTCAAGTCACAATTCTGGAACAATTGTCTGGTGTGCCAGGGAATTGGGAAACTGGGCCATTTTTAATGCTGTGGATTTGAAATTGGGAAAACAGTGGTTGGCTCCCCAGTGTTTGTATTTCCCCAGTTCACCAAAGCCTCTGCCTGGGAGAGATCTCTTGGAAAAATTAAATGCCACAATCCAATTGAAAAATGGTAAAATATAGGTTATTATTGCAGAGCCTAATTCTATGGAAGATTCTAGTTTTGCATGAGAGTCTCCAAAAGCAGAACTAATCCATCTGCCAACATCACTTGGGGATGCAGTGATTCCAGTAGGATGGGCTGGAGAGGTGCCTCCATGATCCAAAAGAGCAGAACTGTGAGAATTCCAGTGAAACCTGGAGTGGGGTTGGTCAGGCCAAAGCAATAGCCTTTGAAAATGGAAAGTTGTGAGGGATTCTCACTCTCTGTAGAAAAACTGATGAAATTTTGCTTGTTAAAATAATGTGAATCTAAATGTAATGCTCCAATTTTGCCAGTCAAGCAGGCAAATGGAAGGCTATCCCAGTTAGTCCAAGACCTCAGAGCTATAAATAATAGAGTAGAAGATATACAAGCAGTTGTAGCGAATCCTTACACTTTGCTAACTCCCCTAAATGAAAGTTTAATGTTTCACAGTATTAGATTTGAAAGCTGCCTTTTTCTGTCTCCCTTTGAGTTGTGAAAGTCAAGAGCTTTTTGCTTTCAGATGGGAAAATCCAAAGACAGGGAGGAAAACCCAGCTGACTTTGGTGGTCCTCCTGCAGGTGATGCCAGCTCAGCTGATGCTAAGGAAAAACCTCAGGAGCAGTTAATTGAGTGTGAGATAAGGAAAGGGTTTGATTTGTGCCAAGGCACAGATGTTACAGGATGCATGCCCGCTGTGCCTGAGATGTGACATTTTATAATACTACCTGTCCATCCCAAGTGTTTCCACCCCGTAGCCTTTGCTCTGGTCTGCCCCGGGCCCACTCCCTGGGAATTGAGTCTGGGGTGCATTTCGGGACCCTCTCTTCATCCCCATCACCATCCTCAGAGCACAAAGGGTACACGGTCACCCAGTTCTTGACTCTGTTCTGTTGTTCAGGCCAAGATAGGAGTGTTCTCTAAACAGCATAGGCCTTGCCTTGACAAGAGACTAAACATTTCTACTGAATTCAGGGGTAGGATTGATATGGGGAGCATGGAATGGGGTAGGAGGGTTGAGGAATGTGTAAACTAAAGGGTGCTAAAGGGTGAGGAATACAATATAGCTACTTCTAAAATCTACTTCTACTATAATTACATATAAAGCTTATAAAAATTAAAAAAAAAACTAAAAGGGTCTTAAGGCATCACAGGGGTTTAAAAATATCCCCCCAGTATTTGGAACTCAATTGGCAAAGGAACTGGAGGAATGGAAAAGCCAAAACCCTCTTGGAGCCTTATTCCAGTGTGTGGATATTTTGACAGCCACTGATGCTGAGCAGCAATGTTGGGATCAGACACTATGGAATTTCCTTGGACTGGGTGGATATGGGGTGTCCCAAACACAAAGTGCAAGTAGTCCAGACCCCAGGAGCCTCCCTGGGCTTTGGAATTCTCCAAGGACAAGGGAGGCTGGGCCAGGAAGGAAAGAAGCAACCTGTCAACTGCCCCAGCCCCAGCAAAGGAAGCCCAGAGCGGGATTGCTTCCAGACTAGAGGAGAAGTGTATTCGGGCAGAGCTGACTCAGGAGACAGCCCCTGGGAAAGTCCTGGTTGGGAATTGTTTCCCAGTGGGGGCAGCTTTGTCCAGCATGGAAAACAATTCTCTGGATGCACAGGAACTCCCCCCAGCAGGTCATGGAATTGGGGGCACTCCTCTGCAGTGCCTCAGCCCAGAAAGCAGAACCAATTGTGCTCACTCCAGCTTGGGGATTGAGTCAAGGAGAACAAGTTAATCCTTGGACTTGCTTGAAGATCTCCAGAAACCAACAGAGGCTGCTGTCCTGCATTGCAGAGTGCACCAAGAGGGGGAGACCAAAGCAGAACTGGGGAATCATTTGGCCCAAAAGGCTGCCAAAGAGGCTGCAGAAAAAGGCACTTTAGAGAGTAAAGTTTTGTCTTTAATAACCCTGACAGAGATACCTCTCCCAGTAGAAACAAATGAGTCTAGTGCTAAGGATTGTCAGCTCATTGAAACCTTAGAGCAAAATTTGCTCCAGGAGGCTGGGCAGTTACCCCAGGTGGGCAAATAATAGTCCCTGAACCAGTCTGGTGTGACCTGGTGGATGGGGAACACGAGGGTATTCCTTGGAGTGAAGCAAATCATTGAAACATTTGCACAAGTGGGTTATAAGTCCAAAACTGCCCCCAATTGTAGAAGCAGTGAGTCAGCAGTGTGGTGTGTGTAAGAGAAATGATCCAACCCCTGCCAATGCAGTGGGAATAGGGGATGTAAAGTGTAGAAATGTTCCAGGTGAATGTTGGCAGATGGATTTGACTGAATTGCCCAGAAAAGGGGGGTGTAAAGATCTCCTAGTCTTGGGGGATACCTTCTCTGGGTGGCCAGAGGCTTTTCCTTGTTGCACTAAGAAGGTTTGGAAAGAGACTGCAATGCTGTTCAATGCAATCCTCCCTGTATTTGGGATGCCTTTGGGAATGTCATCAGACAGAGGTTCCCACTTGATTGCAGAAACAAAATGCTTCACTCTTGTTTTGCTCTTCTGAACACAGTTCAAACACTGTTGACATGGGAGGAAAATTTACATCACTTTTTAGTGCCAAATGTGATCCAAGTGTTGTCTAAAAGTGTATGTATTAAGTAAGCAAGACTCTGTAATGAATCTGTAAACTGTGTGTGTAATGTAAAGCCCTGTCTGGCTGTCCCTGAAGTGCTGAGGCTGAACAACAGCCCCTGAGCCAAAGCTGAGCTCTAGATGAACCTTCCAACCTAATGGGCTGTGTCTCCATGTATCTGCTCATCAGCTAAAACTGGGTCTATTTGTTGGTAAAAATGTGGTGTGATGGGACTCCACCTGTGTATCTGCTCCTGAGCAAACAGGTGTGCTTATTAGTCAGATCTGTTAGTCTGGGCTCATTAGTGAATCCTGTTTGTACCTGTTCATTAACAAAATATGTCTGATTGTGAGCAAAATGTGATCTTTATCTTTCTGTATCTGGAGAGTGGTCGAGGCCATGGCAGTCGATGTCTGGCCTTGTTTGGCAGCAGATGGGGCAGGGGGAGCCTTGGTTTGGGAGAAGTAGAACATTGCTCCCAAGATTCTGCTCTGGCCAAATAAGGAACAATAGAATCTTAGAGAAGTCCTGGAGAATTGGATCAGGGCTGGAACTCAAGCAAACAGGGTGTGAGCTGAGCTCTGGGGACCCAGAGAAGATCAAACCAAACATGCTGGTCTCTGTGGGGAAAAGCAGTGATGCTGAGAACCGAGGTCAAGAAGGGGACACCTGACTTTGGGGGGGCACCAGATGCCAAAAAACCCACCAGAGACCCCCAGAGAAGACCCCAAATGACCAAATAGGTACTTGCAATAGGGATGTGACTGTGTAAAGCAAAGTAATGGACATGTGTTAAGTAAGGGAGAATATCCAATGCCTCTGGAATCAGTGTGTGTAATCCCAAGCCCTGCCTGTGTCCCTGAGCAGGCTGGATTAGAAGAACTCTCCTGCAGGCGTCCAGCACGCTGCCCTAAAGAATGCCTGCTTCTTAACACCCCAAACTGGGCTGAAGGGCTTGGGTTCTGCTGCTTGTGGGGATCATTTCTGGCCCCCAGGTGGGACCCTGTGCCTGATCTCCCGTGGATCCGAGGGATCTCTGGATCTTCACGCCGGCCCCAGGACATTCCTGGAGAAGAGCACAGATCCCCAGCCCAGTCTGGGATGTGGGGAAGATCCCATTGGATAATAAGGCATTCTTTTGGGGAATCCTGCTCCTGTAAGATGTGTGGATCTTCCAGCACTTTGGGTGGGTTATTTGGTATTCCACAATTTGGTGTCTGGCTTTGTTTTATCCACTGATCCTTGTTTTGTGTTTGTATTTGTCTCTGTACTGTAACATTTGCACAGGTGGGTTAGGGGTGCAAAACTGACCCAGTTGTACAAGCAGTGAGTCAGCAGTGTGGTGTGTGAGAGAAATGATCCAACCCTGCCAATGCAGGGGGAATAGGTGATGTACAGTGTGGAAATGTTCCAGGTGAATGTTGGCAGATGGATTTGACTGAATTGCCCAGAAAAGGGGGGTGTAAAATCTCCTAGTCTTGGGGGATACCTTCTCTGAGTGGCCAGAGGTTTTTCCCTTGTGACACCAACCAGACTAGGGAAGTGAGTGGAATACTGTTGAATCCAAGAATCCCTGGATTCGAGGTACATTTGGGAATGTCATCAGACAGAGGTTCCCACTTGATTGTAGAAGTGGTACAAGAAGTCGAATCATGGATGCATTATTCCAGAATTCCAAAGGCCAGAGCTCCTTGGGTAATTGAGAGGTTGTCTGAGAAGAAACAAAATGCTTTAGTCTTGTTTTGCTCTCCTGACAATAGTTAATTGGGTCTTGACTTGGGAGCAAAATTTACATCTCCTTTTAGTATCAAATGTGACCCAAGTGTTGCCTCCAAGGGATTGCTGGGTGTGCACTCATTTACCTGAAAAGACAAGGAAGCCATTCACCATTTCTGCCTCCCCTATTCTGGCAGAAATGATTCCTGGTCACTGGGTGAGCACTTGTGCTCACCAAAAAGTAGACCCAGCAGTTAGTGTGCAAGTACCCCCCCATCTCTGACAATCCTGCCTGTGTCCAAAGCTGTGACCCCCACTAAAGGGACAGGAGAACTGGATTGTGTTAATGAAAGGGGCACGTTTGTGGGAAATCACAGCCAATGTCCTCAAACCCTTCCTGCTGGGGAAATGACTGATCCTTGGCCGGTCCCCAATGGAACGGGGTGGTGTTGGCTGTGTGGAAATAACACCTGTGAAGGGTTGCCCCAAAGCTGGAAGAGCATTTGTATTTTAGCTTGCATCATGACTCAGCTTAGTCTGAAGAAAAGGAGGGATTTGATGTGGGATATAGAACACTGCTCCCAACATTTCTCTATGGCCAAGGAAGGAAAACCATAATCTTGGAGAGGTCCTAGAGAATTCGATTGGGGATGTAACTAAGCAAACAGGATGGAAGCTGAGCTCTGTGCACCCAGAGAAGATCAAACCCAAACGTTACAGTCTTTGTGGTGAAAGGTAATGACAGTGTGTCTGCTCAGAACCGAGGTCAAGAAGTGGACACCTCAACTTTGGGGGCACCAGATGCCAAAAAACCCCACCAGAGAGCTCTGAAGAAGACCCCAGAGGACCAACTAAGGACTTGCAATAGGGGGTGTGACTGTGTAAAGCAAAGTAAGGGAGAATATCTAAGGAATATAGAAACTGTGTGTGTGGGATATAAAGCCCTGTCTGGCTGTCCCTGAAGTGCTGAGGCTGAACAACAGCCCCTGAGCCAAAGCTGAGCTCTAGATGAACCTTCCAACCTACTGGTCTATTTATCCATGTATTTGCTCCTTAGCTAAACCTGTGTATGTTTGTTGGTCAAAGATGTACTGTGTGCAAAGACTACCCGTGTATCTGCCCATGAACAAAATAAATGTGCTTATTAGTGAGATCTGTGAGTCTCAGCTCATTAGTGAATGATATTTGTATGTGTTCATTAATCAAATCTTATGTCTGATTGTGAGCAAAATGTGATCTTTATCTTTCTGTCTTTAGAGAGTGGTCAAGGCCATGGCAGTGGATGTGTGGCCTTGTTTGGCAGCAGATGGGACAGGTTGACTGCCTTGGTTTTCCCCTTAAGCCCTGGCCAGGCTCTGGGTGGAACCCAGGAGGAGAAGGGAGCCAGATGGTTTTGCACACTCGTAGCTCTGTGAGCTTGTTTCTCCAAGGCCAGAAAAGCTGGACCCCCTCCCAGCAGAGGTGGAGCCCTCCCCTACGAGTGGACGCCCTGGGTGGGATTTCCCGTGCCCGGGAGGGGTTCTCCAACCCTTGGCTGCGACCGGGGCTCCCCCGCTGCCCTGCGGGCCTGGCTGAGGGGAACAGATGAGGGCAACTGGGCAGGGAGCTTTTCTACTCACTCCAGGCACTCTTGGTAGGAACGATGAGGTGCATTACTGAGCTCAGCCTTTTGTCATTCTTTGCTGCTTTGCACTGCAGTAAAATTACACACTTGTTCTCCAAAGTTGGTGTCGGTGTCTCTTGGGCTGACCCTCGTCGTGGGCAAAACAGTTCCATGGGGCCCTGCAGTGTCACAATGGTCCCCTGATTCCATGAGACAACATTCCTAATGTACTGTCTAGACGAGAGGAAAATCACAGGAAGAGCCCTGGTTTGTTAGGACTTGCTTTGTCTGAATGAGCCCCGTGGGGCTTTTGGTGCTGAGTCCTTGAACCTCAGGTACTGAGGGGAGATTGCACAAACCTTTCCATTAGTCAGAGTCAGAAGGAGAACCCAAAATATCTCGAAGCATTAATGGGTCCCACTGAGGGGCATTCCCAATACAGGCTCCTCATGGACTCGCTGGAAGAGAGAATTGGAGGCCATGATTGCACAAACTTCTCAGAGATTCCAAAGCAAAACCCAAAGGCCTTTGAAAACCCTGCAGCCCCTTGAAGCCTTCAGGAGCCCCCCAAGGGCCATTCCTGACAAAGCCTCCCCAGGGACTCTCCAGCAGATCCTTGGGGGCCGTGAGTGCAGGGAGGCAAAGGCTCTGTGCAGGCAGCTGAGATGTTGAGCACAGCCTGGCTTGGTTGGAGGCAGCAGAAAGGCCCAGCCCTGACCCCCAGCCCGGGGAAGGCAGATCCTGTCCCTCCCGCCTGGCTCAGGGCTCTGCCGGGGGCACTGCCTTGGGGGGGTGACGCTGAGGGAAGGACAAGGGGGTGCCAGTGCCCAGCCTGCCCGGGCCCTTTGCTGTGCCCTGCCAGCAGCAGCCTCCCCGTGCTGTGCCCAGGCTGCTCCTTTCAGCTGCGGGCACAGACAGGGCCCAGCTGTGCCTGCTGCTGTCCCATCCTGCGCTCAGCACCAGGGACGGGGCAGCCCAAAGAGAAGCCCCGTTGCTGGAGTGAGCCCAGGCCCTGAGGCACAGGGGATCTCCCAGGGCTGTGCCAGCCAGGGGCCTTGTGCTGGGCTGTCACAGGCCAGGGCAGGGGCAGCTGGAGAGCCCCTGGCCCAGCCCTGAGTCACGGGCTGAGCCATCAGCTCCTGCTGAGAGAAGGGACCTCACAGGCCCTTCCCCAGCCACCTTCCTGCTCTTGGCCTGTCCCCTCCAGGGGCACAAGTGACCTCACAGCCCCTTCACAGCCACCAGCTTCCTACTGGGTGATGAGTTCCTGAGACACAACTGACCCCTTGATACTGTACCCAACCATCCCCCTCCTTGTGGCCCAGTCAGTGATGGGACCACACACACATAAACTTGTTTCCTCAAATTTGTCCAGTAGATTCCCAGGATTTCCATAGGGAGATGTTCCTCACAGGAACTGCTGTGTTTGCACTGGTGCATTTGATAGCTCTACTTCTGCCTCTGTCTATTCTCCCTTCAAAGAGCTCTCCAAGGAAAGATTCCTTGAACTGTAGAATAGCAGAGGCTGGCAGAGCCCCCTGAGCAGCCCTGCCCTGGCTGTGGCTGGGCTGCAGTTCCCCTTGCCCAGAGCAGCCCCTGTCCTGCTGGGTTGGTGCTCGTGGCTGCAGCGCTGTTGGTCCCAGCCCAAGGCTTTGGCTGTCCCTGGGCAGTGCTGGCCCCACAGGAAGCGTCTCTGCAACCACCCCCACCCATGGGCTGGGCTGGGCAAGTGTTTCACAGGGGACATGGCTGGGACAGCTGGGCTGGACTGACCCAAGGGATATTCCATTCCATGGGATGGCATGATCAGCAATAACTGAGAGAAAGGAAGGGAGAAAGGGCAGGGAGGAGGGGGAGAGACATGGATGCTCTTTATTAATACATTTGTCTTCCAAAGAAACCTCTCCATGGACTGAATTCTTGCCTCCCAGGGGTTTTCTTTGTTCCTGCATGTGGCCTCTGCTTTTTCCTTCCCCCTCCCCAGTTAATCTCCCTTTATGTTGACCAGTGATTTTTTCCCCTGCTTTCCCCCTGTTGTCTGACTGAGGAGGGGAAGTGAGGGAGCAACTTGGTTGTCACTGGATGGCCAGACAGGTTTAACCACAGTCACCTTGCCCAAACCTTCTCTTACAGGCACCCCCAGAAATGTCAGGTGTCCACACCTGAGCTTGGTCACGCCCTGCTCACCCCCTCCCCCAGGGCTGTTCAGAGACACGAGTCCTTCCCTTGCACACAGTTCCTGGCAGCAGGGCAGTGTCTCCCTGGGCTCCTGCTGCCACTGCCAGGGGCTGGAAGCCCCTCAGCCCTGGGGGGTGTCACTGCTTTGCCCCTGTCTGAGATGCCCCACGGCCTGAGGGATGGACACAAGGAGCTCTGTGCACAGAAGCACATCCCAGGGCTGCATCCAGAGGCTTTCCCAGGGCACGTGACTCTCCAAGTGAGAGCTTGTCCCTCTGGATTTATGGCCCCCCAAGAATAGCTGATGTTTGTGCTCACTGGGGTTCATCTCCCCACACACACATAGTGCCCACACTGAAGTCTCCTCAGTACTAAGCAAACATGGATTTTTGACCTGGTCACTTGATATCTCTCTGTGGAGAGACAACCAGCCTCTTGCAGGTGGGGTGAGAGGCCAGGGCTGGGAATGGGGGTGGCAGGGGCTGCTCTGTGACAGTGGCCCTGGGGCACCTTCCCAGGCTGTCCCTGGAACAAAGACACAGCCCAGCCCCTGCTCTGCTGCTCCCTCGGGTCTGTGCCAGGAGCTCTGGCTGTGCCAGGACACTGCTGTGTGCCCCCACCCTGCACACCCCCACTCTCAGCTGGGCACTGGCATTTGCTTTGCCAGGGCATTCCTGGGGCACATTGCTGACAGGGACTGTGGAGGAAGAGCCTGAAGCCTTCCTGCCCTGCCCTCAGGAGATGCCCTTGGCTGATGCAGGTGCTGGTGTGGAGCCCAGCTCTGTGCCAGCAGTGCCAGGGCCTGTCCCTGCCTGTGATCCCAGCACGGACACACAGCAGGACTGTGCCCAAGCTGTTAAGAAGGGGTCACCCAGGAAAGCTGTCCATGGAGTTGCTGCAGAGACCCAAGAAAGAAAGCAGCGACCTCTCAGACATAAGAGGACTGAGACCAATTCCTTTGATTGTGGTGGGGGGACCTCTGGTCTGGCATCACAAAGGTCAGACAGTGAATACTCTGACCAGGAACAGGAATGGAGGGTCCCTGCCTTCGGCCAGGAGGAGGAAAGGGATGGTCGGGTCTGCTGGACTGTGTGGGTTGGATGACCTGGCACGTGGGATCCACAGAGGTAGATATGGGTGCACAGAGCACACTGATGCCATTGAGGCACAGAAGTGCAGAACCCATCTGGATCTCTGGAGTGACAGGGGGATGCCAGGAATTATCAGTGTTGGAGGCTGAAGTGACTTTAATGGGACAATTGGGAAAAGCACCCCACTGAGACTGGCCCAGAGGCCCCTTGTATCCTTGCCATTGATTACCTCAGGAGGGGAGACTTCAAAGCTCCCAAGGGGTGTTGATGGGCTTTTGGTGTGGCTACTGTGGCTACAGAGAAGGTCAAACAATTACCTACCCTGCCTGTCCTCTCAAAGGATCCTCCCACTGTGGGATTACTGCAAGTCGAAGACCAACAAGTGCCCATTGCCACCAGAACAGTGCCCTGAAGGCAGGATGGCACCAACTGGGACTCCACAATTCCCATTCAGGAACCAGTTCATCGACTGCAGAAACAGGGAGGGATCAGCAGGACCCGCTCACCCTTTAACAGCCCCATATGGCCAGCGTGGAAGTCTAATGGGGAGTGGGGGCTGACAGTGGACTATCGTGGCCTGAAAGAAGTCACGCTGCCTCTGAGTGCTGCTGTGCCGGACGGGCTGGAACTTCAGGATGAGCTGGAGTCAGAGGCAGCCCAGTGGGGCCACAACTGATACTGCCCATGTGTTTTTCTCCATTCCTCTGGCAACAGAGTGCAGACCACGGTTTGCCTTCACCTGGAGGGGTGTCCAGTACACCTGGAATCAAGTGCCCCAGGGGTGGAAGCACAGCCCAACCATCTGCCAGGGACTGATCCAGACTGCGCTGGAACAGGGGGAGCTCCAGAGCACCTGCAATATATTGAAAATATCACTGTATGGGGCAAAACAGCAGAAGAAGTTCTTGAGAAAGGGAGGAAAATTGTCCAAATTCTTCTCAGAACTGGTCTTGCCATAAAGCAAAGCAAGATAAAGGGACCTGCACAGGAGATTCAGTTCTTGGGAATAAAATGGCCGGATGGATGCTGCCATGTGCCCCTGGATGTAGTAAACAAAATAGCACCTATGTCTCCACCAGCTAACAAGAAGGAAACACAAGCTTTCCTAGGCCTTGTGGGTTTCTGGAGGATGCACATTCCAGGTTACAGTCAGCTTGTGAGCCCCCTCTGTCGAGTGACCCGGCAGAAGAACCATTTTGAGTGGGGCCTTGAGCAACAACAGGCCTTGGAGCAGATCAAACAGGAGACAGCCCGTGCAGTAGCTCTGGGGCCTGTTGGAAC